AAGGTGCATCACGCTTATTATAACCCACTTTTCACATCCAATCTTATTTTTACTTCCACATTATCTTGAATTAATACATTTTTGTCCCTCTTTTCCTGCCCTAGCTTTTCCTTCAACATTTATTGCTACTTTCTTTAGCTCTAAATATTTATATATATAATTATATATATTATATATTATATATATATCATATTTTATTATATATATAATTTTTTTTTTTTTTTTTTTTTTTTGTTAAACAAGTCGGCCGTCTCCCACCGAGCAGGGTGACCCAAAAAAGAAAGAAATCACAAAAAGAAAATACTTCTCATCATCATTCAACACTTTCACCACATCACACATTATCACTGTTTTTGCAGAGGTTGCTCAGAATGCAACTGTTTAGGAAGCATATAGCGTAGAAAGTACTACAACATATCACTCCAATTCTGCCAATATCCCAAACCCCTCCTTTAAAAGTGCAGTCATGTACTTCCCAGTTCCAGGACTCGGGTCCGATGTATGATTAGTAACCGGTTTCCCTGAATCCCTTCACTAAATATTACCCTGCTCACACTCCAACAGATCGTTCAGGTCCCAAGTAGCATTCTTTGTCTCCATTCACTCCTATCTAACCGCTCATGCTCGCTGGCCGATCCTCCAAGGCAGGGTGGCCGAAAAAGGAAAAAATTTCACCATCTTTCACTCTCCATCACTGTCTTGCCAGTAGGGTGCTTGTACACTACAGTTTTTAAACGGCAACATTAACACCCCTCCTTCAGGAGTGCAGGCATCTGTATCTTTCCCCATCCTCCAGGACTCAAGTCTGGCCTGCCTGGTTTCCTGTAACCCCTTCATAAATGTTACTTGCTCACACCAACAGCACGGTCAAGTATTAAAATCCATTTGTCTCATTCACTCCTATCAACACACTCACGCTATGCCTGCTGGAAGTCCAAGCCCCTCACTCAAAAACCTCCTTTTTACACCCTCCCTCCAACCTTCCTAGGCGACCCCTACCCCGCCTTCCTTCCATACAGATGATACACTCTTGAAGTCAGTTCTGTTTCGCTCCTTTCTCTCTACATGTCCGTCCACCTCAACAACCCTTCCTCAGCCTCTGGACAAACATGTTTTGGTAATCCCGCACCCTCCTCCTAACTTCAACTACGAATTCTTCTGCATTATAATTTCACACACAACAAATTTCCCTCAGACATGACATCTCCACGCACGCCCAGCACTTCTTCCTCCTGCCAACATTCATACCCATGCTTCATAACCATAGAAGTGTGTTGGTAAAACTATACTTCTCATACAATCCCCTCTTTGCCTCCAAGGGACACAAGTTCGTTGTCTCCACTGACTCTCTAAGTGCACCACTCACCCTTTCCCCTCATCAATTTATGATTCGCACCTCATCTTTCTTAGACCAACTGCGACACGTCACTCCCAAATATCTGATTACTTTCACCTCCCCTTATCGCTCCCTCCTATCTGTTATTCAATCTCTTTTTCACCTAATGTCTGTTGTTATCCTCATATAACCTTACTCTTTTCCTGTTTCACTTTAATTTTTTTCTTTTGCATACCTAACAATTCATCCCACCAACCCCTCTACAGCTTCTCTTCAGATATCTACCAAGGCATCTGTGTCATAGCTAAGAGCAACTGTGACAAAATCCCACCTTTTAGTGTTGATTCTTTATCTCTTTAACTCCACGCCTTTTGCCAAGACCCTCGCATTTACTTCTCTTACAAACCCATCTATAAAATATATTAAACGACCCCGGGCGGACATCACACACCTTGGTCTATAGGCTACTTTTACGGGGAATTAATTTCCCTCTTTTCCTACATACTCTAACTTTAGCACTTCACTCCCCCTCCTCGTAAAAACTCTTCCTGCTTTCTAGTAACCTACCTTCTACACCATTCTCCTGCAACGTCTGGCCACATTGCACCCCTATTCCACACCTGTATTGCCTTTTCCATATTCCTATAAATGCCTCAAAGACACCTTTGCCTTATCTAAATAATGTTCACTTATGTCTGTTCACTGTAAACACCGGTTTACAGGTTTACTATATATTTTATTTGTTTATCAGTGGAACCCCAGCATTACCGTCCCACCACATAACGTACAATCCGCATACCGCTCGCTTTTGTCGCAAAAAAATTTTGCCTCGCATACCGCTCCAAAAAACCCGCTCACCGCTCTTCGTCCGAGACCCACGTGCGTCCTATTGTGCGCCCTAGCCAGCCTCACATGGGCCGCTGGTGGCATTGTTTACCAGCCTGCCTCCGTCGGTAACATCCAAGCATTACAATCGGAAACATTTCGTATATTACAGTGTTTTTGTGATTTTATCTGCCAAATAAGTGACCATGGGCCCCAAGAAAGCTGCTGTGCCAACCTACAGCAATAAGGGTGAGAATTACAATAGAGATGAAGAAGAGATCATTGATAAGTATGAAAGTGGAGTGGTGTCGCCGTACCTGGCCAGGTTGTACAAAGTCAACCCAAATCAACATCGCTACTATTGTGGGCAACAGAAAGGCAATCAAGGAAGCTGTTTCTTGCCAAAGGTCTTAACTCTGTGTTTTCGAAACAGAGGATCGCAAAGTGATGGGAAGATGTTGAGAAGTACTCTTATTGGTGTGGATAAATGGAAAACAGTAGCAGGAGATAGCGTTTCTCAAGCGATCATAGCGGAAAAGGTAGGAAGTTGCATGAGGATTTAATTAAAAAAATGGCCTGCACTAGTGATGATGTGCAGTGAATTTTAAGGCCAGCAAAGGTTAGTTGAGAGATTTAAGAAGCGTGTGGCATTTTACAAGTGTGATAAGGCATGGTGAGGCTCCAGTTTCGGTCCACGAAGAGCTGAAAAATATGTGAGGCATTCAAGGAGTACATACAGTGAAGGACTGAGAAACCTGAACAAGTGTTTAATTGTGGATGAAACAGGCCTGTTTTGGAAAAGAAAATGCCAAGCAGGACTACATTAACCGAGGAGGAAAAGGCACTCCCAGGGACATAAGCCTATGAAAGACAGGCTTACTTTGTTGATGTGTTCCAATGCTACTGGTGATTGCAAAGGGAAGCCTTTATTAGTGTATCACTCTGAAACTCCCAGACCGTTCAGGCAAAAGAATGTCCTCAAGGAGAATTTGTGTGTGCTGTGGAGGGCAAACAGTAAGGCATGGGTCACTAGGGACTTTTTCTATGACTGGTTACACCATGCATTTGCCCCCAATGTGAAAGATTACCTAACTGAAAAGAAATTAGAACTTAAGTGCCTCCTGGTGTTAGACAATGCCCCTGGTCATCCTACAGACGTGGCAGAGCGACTTTATGGGGACATGAAATTCATTAAGGTGAAGTTTTTGCCTCCTAATACCACTCCTCTCCTGCAGCCCATGGACCAGCAGGTTATTGCAAACTTCAAAAAAACTGTACACAAAAGCTCTGTTTGAAAGGTGCTTTGTAGTGACCTCAGAAACTCAACTGACTCTAAGAGAGTTTTGGAGAGAGCACTTTAATATCCTCAATTGTGTAAACCTTATAGGTAAGGCTTGGGAGGGAGTGACTAAGAAGACCTTGAACTCTGCTTGGAAGAAACTGTGGCCAGAATGTGTAGGACAAAAGGGATTTTTGAAGGGTTGAGGCTAACCTGAGAGGAATATGCGCATTGAGGAATCCTTGGGCGGAAAGTCCTTGGGTTGGAGTTAGTGGGAGGATGATGAATTGGTGAAGGACAATGAAGAACTAACCACTGATGAGCGATAGATCAACTTCAACAGCAATAGGCCAGACCTGAGGAAACTGTTCAGAGGAGGGGAAGAGAAATTGAAGCAGGTGGGGGCTTGGGGGGAGGTGTACTACAAAGATAAGGAAATATGTTGCAAAGTGGGCTTGAAGTTGCAAACCTTCCATGATGAAAATCAACGCCTCACACCGCTATTGCAACCGTGTTGGCTAACCAGTAACACTGCAATGTTGGGGTGGGGAACTCTTAAGGGAAGTCATAAAGGAACGAGAGGTACAGGCCACTAATGGACAGATATGTTGTGCGAAAGAAGTCCAGTGACTCTGAAGCAGGTCCTATGCATTAAAAGAAGAAGGGAAGTAACCCCAGAAAAGGACTCGACAAACCTCAAGTCTTACTGGAAGGGGAATTCCCCTTCTAAGCACTAACACTCGCATCTCCCCTCTCTCCCATCCCATCAATCATCACAAGATCTTCAATAAAAGTAAGTGTCCATGTAATTGTGCATACCTTTTTCAGTTTGGTGTATTAAAATTACATTTTCATGTGGTAAATTTTATTTTTTTTCATACTTTTGGGTGTCTTGCACGGATTAATTTGATTTCCATTATACTTATGGGGAGCAATTCATTCACACACCGAGTCATTTCGTCATAACAATGAGCCTCTTATGCAACGGAAAAAGTCGCTATGCGGGGTC